TTTAAGATTTAACATTGATTTAACTCAAGATTTGGATCACTGTTAATATTTCAATGTATGCTTCAGTTGAAAACTCTAATTTGAATTTAATGACCTTTTAAAAAAACTGGTTGCCTTTTCTTTAAGGGAACAAACCCTTCCCTTCACTGATTTGGTTGGAAAACACGAAAGCCATTTCACCTTGAAGCCGCAGCATCTGCTCTTCTCTTTGCTGGACGGTGGGGCCTTTGCTGCCTCGTTCAAAGGCTGATCTGGGTCCATTATGAACTATACGTTTCACGTGACTTTTCAACTGTTGCAGATGTTTCGTTCAAAATGTTAACCTATTCAGGGAAAAAAAATGTGATGTATTTCACTTTGACAATATGCAATTCAGAAATGAGAAAAGCCACCAATCAATCTGTGAGCCCACTAACATTCATGGAGGGAGGGCTGACTGTTTCCTGGGCACAGGGCCAGGTAAATGCCCAACACACACACACAGAAAACACCTGGAGCCCGAGCTTCAGGGAGATTATAATTCAGTGTAGAAGAGAAATGGATTGAAATAAAGTGGAAACAACAAATAAATAACATAGAATCCCAACTAGATTAGGTGAACAAAATTTTTAAAATAGAGAAATAATATTAAAATATATTTTTATATACCTACATTATAAGATTAAGGAAGGCGAGTATGAGTTTAATTTATCTTGGTAACTTTACAAAGTGTTGGGCAGTGCCTTGCACACGGGAGATGGTCAGAATGGGTGGAAACCCAATCTGATGAATTGTAGTTAGAGTGGCTGCAGGTTTCCTGGAGGTGTACCTCTGGAGCTGGGCTGAAAGAATTGCTGGAGTTTGGATTTGTTAAAAAACAAAACAAAACAGTGTAGTCTAAGGAATTCTTAGATGGGATCTGGCCATACTTGAGATGACCACCATCACGATCCTACTTTATTTTAACTTTGTTCATTTATTTTTGAAGAGACTATATATGCCTATAGTTGAAAGTACAAAAGACCAAAAAGCATATGCATATATTAAAAATTCTTCCTCTAACCCACATTCCCCCAGCATCTAGTTTCTCTTTCTGAGGACTAATATCAACAGCTTTTAGTGACTCTTACCTGGAAATATATTTTAAAAATTAAAAAATTAATACTTTCTTTCTTTTTTAATACCACGGCAGCATGCCATTAACACTGTTCTTGGCCTTTTCACCCTGTTTCCTATACTTAATTTTATATTAATAAGTGGCCTACTCAGTTTTCTTATGGTTTCAGGGTATCGCATTGTCCATGACATAACTAGCTAGTTGCATGTTAATAAATACTTATTTAGGTTGTACCTAATTATTTCGTATGAGAAAACTTGACTAATATGTCATTTTATTTATGTGTGATCATAGCTGTGGGATAAAACCTGACAGGATTTTTGAAGTCAAAGTGTAAGAGGAATTAGAATTTTGAAGGTGATGAATCCACTAATTTAAACACTAGTAAAGTGAGTCAACTTGTTCCTTCGATTTGTTCTTTTACATAGATCGGTGGGTTCTTCACAGAGGTTTAGAAAAAGTATTTCTGTTTATACATGTGTGCATGATACACATTCATGTATCTAAAATAACTGTTCTATGTAGTAACACACACAAGCATAGATATGCAATTATTAATGGGGCCTTAATGACGCAATGTATTAAAATCTATTCTGTGTGAAGTTGACTCACGTTGTCTGCGGTGCTCCTGTTCTAACAGTTGTTGCAAGCACTGAATTAGCAAATGCTGAACGTTGCTCCCAGGGGCAAGGCAGGGCCACGTTCCCGTGTCACCGCATTTTCATCAACTGATCAATACATAACCTCATCTCACATGAGCTTCTGTTTAAAGATACCTTATTGGATTTGCTTTGTTGATCTATTAGTGTTGACTTCGTGGTCAACAGCACTCTAGAGCTCATGCCTGAGTAAGTGTAGGTAACATATTTTTTCGTCGGGCAAGTCACGGCCTTCCTGCCTCAGAACAGGGGGCGGCACCTTGCCACTGTGCTATGGAGCTGTTCCAACAGCAGAATCACCAGCCGAAGGTATAGATGTATGACCCTAAGTAGAATATGGAAAGGGTAGAGTAGAATATGGAAAGGCTACCCGCTTACAGTCTGAGAGCAGAGCCATACCTTGTTTGACCTCGGCTGGGAACAAGTGTGTTAGACCACTCCAATTTTTACCACTCTTTGCACTATTGATTTTGGGGTTAAAAATAAATTTAACAGTCCCAGAATCCACAAATAATGAGGCAAATTTGCAGTCCCAGAATCCACAAATAATGAGGATCGACTGTATATATTACTTACTTTCTTCAATAAGGATTTATTGATTCCCTACATTATAAATACATAAAGACCACACACACACATATATACACATAAAATGTATGTGTGTTGAATAATGTGTAAATGTAGAAATGATAACGAAAATGTTATCGCTTTTGCATATGTAAATGTATATAACACAGGCCTGACCGCAGAAACTCACGTACATGTAAGTGACTTTCAGTTCTTATTTCACTTTTTTGCACGTGCCCCATTCGTGCCTCTGCCTGTGCACACCCTGAGCGAAGTGAGGAGAAAATCAATAGTTTGATGGTCCCAAAGTCATAAGCAGCCTTTTAATAGATTTCCTGTCATTTTATTCATGAATACCTCTTCTGGTATCTTCTCTCAGGATTTCAATGTCAGAAAACGTCTCAGCACTATATCCTATCACTGCAAATCTCTACGAATGATTTGCAAACTTCAGATTTCTATGAGGTTTTTTTTTGGCTAGTGAACCAATTTTTTTTTACCTTATTTGTATCGTATTTTTTCCGTTACCATTTATCCCCCCATACCCTCTTCCATCTCCATCCCTACCTCTCCCATCCCAGCAATCGCCACACTGTTGTCCATGTCCATGAGTTCTTAAGAACAGCTATTCTTGAACGCTATTATCCCTTAGCCTTGCTTCTTGCAGTTAATCAAATTATGATTATCCTGTCTCCCAGCATTTCCAGTATCTGATGCATAGCTTAGGTGTCCTCAAAATCTTTCAGAGGATCCTCGTACCATACAAAATAAAAGTCACGCTTCCAATTTGAGGTTCTTCACAAACCTAACTCACCCCTCGTTTTTGGTCTCCTTTTCCAAGTGCACCACCCGCAAGGCCCTCCAGCCCAATGGAACCACTGTCCCAAAACCAAACAAAAGAAGACCCCTCTCAGCTCTCTATGTGTTTTCTGAGCCTGTAAGGTTCGTCCTCATCTCCCGGTTGTAATGCTGCCTCAAGTCACCACTCGCAGATACTTTCCCAGCTGAAGCCATTTCCCCCGTGCTGATGGGTGCTCCCCTGGAGAACGGACCTCGTAATGCAGCCATCACTATTCCTGCATTTCCACCACTTTCTCATTTTTCTCCTAGATACTTGGAGAAAAAAACATCCAGAAAAAAAGTTGGAAATGCAGGCATCTTTACTCTCGTTTCTTAGAAATTAAACTGTAGTAAGTTCAAGGCAATGAGAAAGTTGGGCTACCAATACAGGCTTGACTCTAAATAACACACTTTCCACTTCAATGTGGTACTTGAAGCCTGACTTGGAGACATTTTAACAGTTTTCTATGGACGTATTTTTTCCTGAGAGTTTCAAACATGTAACATATAAATGAATTTGGAGCCCCACTGCGCTTATAAGAGTACCACGGGCATCCAGCCAGAGCCCTGCATCTCCTCCCTGAGCAGAACCACCTCGTTCTACCAGGGCTGATCGGGGTGGAGTGGTGAGCAGGATCTCACCAGCCTCTGCTTATCAGTGTACAACATTTACTGTTGGAGAGATAATAGGAAAATCTGTGCAAGCAAGTGGCTCAATTTCTACCAGGTACCTGGGGAACAGAGGAGGAGGAAAGAGAAACAGCGTTTACTAACTTCTTAGCCCTTTTGTGGGGGATGTCCCTCATCCTCCACTGTGACGATGACAACTGTCTTCTTAGAGCAGCCACCTCCCTGAGTGGGAGAAGGAAACTAACCTTTACTGAGTCATTAGTTTGTATCAGGGTCTGTGCTGAGCAGATTTTTTCTTTTATTCAGAGACAAAATTATCTGGAAAACTTTTCCCTCACCTTGAGACAAATGTGAGTTGAAAAAGGAAATTGGAGGTGAGCAAGTGACATTGAGACACCTTCCATTTCTTGATATTGGTCCGCCAACTCTGCACCCACATTATGCAGTAAACATGGAATCAAAGAAATAGGGGTGTCTAGTCATTTTGTGTGGTTGGTTAGTGAAAATAATTGCCTTGTAACATATTTTGAGAAGGTAACCAGGGGTCAGTTTTTCAGAGTTGAAGTTCCAGTTGTCCAGAAAGTAATGGGAACATATTTTCAAACTTTATATTTAAATAGTAAATGTCTGATTTTATTGTTAAAAGTACACAAGCCAGAGCCTCATCTATGTCCAGAAGGGACATTGAATAGCTTTTAAGGGCTTAGAACATAAGTGTGCAGAAGACACAGGAATAAAGTGTGCAGCATTGATCATGTCCATCAAAATATTTTCTTTGAAATTTGTGGAATTTTTTCACACAAAAAATTGTTGAAAGAAGAGAATCTCAAAGGTTCTTACCTGAACTCAGAATCCCACAGCAGCCACAAGAAGACCAGACCTCAGACCTTTACCTGTTGTTAAAGTCCGTTTTTAAATCGCTAGCTGGCTTTTCTTTTTTATCAGTACAATGATGATTAACCATCAGGTCATTGACCAAGGCAGATAGAAGAAAATTAACTAGCTATTCTAAGAGTCTGTTCCAGACTCCTGTATTTTAAAGATTATACTTGTCAGATTTTATAGACTATTTTTCTGTAAAACTTCAATTATTAAGTTTCTGAGAATAACTTATATTTGTTTAAAAAATTAAGTTGACTACATACAATTTTTCCCCCTAAATAAACAAATACAACAGATTATCCAAGGTAATTAAAACCCTTCCAAATACGAAACAGTTCAAGACCTTTAAAAAAATGTCTGCAGGCTACTTTAGTATTCAAAAGACAAAGCACACTTTTTGCTCGATCCTGGAGGCAGCTACGTCATGATGCGGGTGGACACTGGGTGCCTCATAGGAAATAGTGAAGCAACAATTCATCAAGAGGTAGGTCTTCCAAGTGACAAAATTTTTAAAAATGACAATATTCCTAAGATTAATTTTCACAATAGATTTCTTATATTGAAGCCCGAAGAAAGAAAGGTTATAATTTTCTTTTATTAACTTAGTTTTTAGAGAAAAGTGGTGCTTGAACCAATTGGTAGTTTTCTTGAGAATGGGTGAAGTTTCATTCATTCAATCACAAAGTCAAACGTTTTTGACTCTCTGCTATACTTTACCTCAGACATTGGGCTCTATTCTGGATGTATCCTAATTTAAATATCATATAAACAAATATGTATATATGTTTTAATATATATGTAGCTAATATGTATAGCTATACAGAGAGAACACATAAATAATAGCTATCATATATATAACTATTATATAGAAACAGCAATACACATATACGTATACATATACATGTAGCAATTTGAGGATGTATATATGAAAATATTGTTACCCCTTATCACTTCTGAAAGACAATTAAAAAATTATTTGTATTGACTAGAGACAGTGAGAGGTAGAGAGAGAAAGAGAGAGATGTTGCTTTGTTGTCCCACTTATTTATATATTCATTGGTTGACTCTTGCATGCACTCTGACCTGGGGATCGAACCTGCAACCTTGGTGTATCTGGACGATGCTTTAACCAACTGAGCTACCTGGCTAGGGTCAAGGAAAATTTTTGATACAACTGTAGCAACATGTATTTAAGTTCTATATATTGAATGTTTGATAGATTATTTCTATCCTGCTTTATTCTTGAAAGTTTGTAATCATGTTAAGGACCAAAGAATGTGGAGAGGGAGAAGGCTTGGGAAATTGTTCATTTCCCATTAAGAGGAACTGAGAAATGTACCAGGAAACCTGGGGCTGCAATATTAGGGACCCTGCTCCCAAACGGTCCTCTGAGAAATCCGAATCGGCGGCAGTCCATACTCACACCCAGGAGATTCCGATGGGGCGAAGACTATGCTTCTTATGCTTTATTATTTTTTCTTTTTTTTTAAGAGGATTGCTGTATTTTTTTTTATTTAGTTACTTTTCAAGTACATTTTTTAATCTATTTTTTCAATAAGTCCTTCAGTTAATTGTTATGTAATTCCAAGTTTTGAGAACCACTGTAGCACAGGGGATACTTTCAGTTTTTGATATGGATTTTCCTTTCATTCAGAGTGGGAATACCGGCTCGGTGCTCTCATGCTAATGATTGTTTTCCAAATTTTTACTCCACCGAGGTACATCACAGAAAGGTAAATAGTACAAATTAACTGAGAACCTTTCTTCTGATCTCAAAACTCAGGACAGTTTCCACAGGTCAAAGAGCATTGACTTTTCCTCTGCCATGACTGTGTTAGTTAGACTGTCCTTGTGCAACTTGTTAAAGAATACAGATTGTTAGAGGGAAGGTGTTGCAACAGTTCTTCCAAAATCAATATTATGCTAACATCCATGGGTCAGCAGAGTTGCAAAATTTGCTTTAAAAATCTAGTGATATTTACTTCAGAGATAATCATCACAGTTTGATGACATGTCATGGTCTTTGAATCCTGACAAATTTTGATGCCAACTTGTCTCTGATACTTGCTAACAGTATGGACTTACATAGGTTATTTAAGCTTTCTGAGTATCAGTATCCTCATCTATAAAGTAGGAAGACAACAGCTGGGGCAGGATTAAATAATGTCTGTACAGAGGTTTACACCGTACCTGGTACATTATACGTTCAATACCTCACACCTACTAAGAGTCACTGCATGAAATTTGTGTATTATAAATACTTAAAGCAATTAATGTACAACACACGGGCAAAAATAAAAGCTCTAGGATAGGGCCCAGCCATTTTTTCAACAGTTTTTATCCCCAGGTCCTCAGGTGGGGGCCATAGGCAGACTCCGAGAGAGCAGCCTTCAGGCTCAAAGAGAACCTGTCACTGTCCACCCACCTTCCCTCCCTCGGCAATAATCAAGAGGAAGCTCCAGGAGGCTGTGTACTTCTGAAAAGGTCTCCACGTATCTTTGCCTACTGACACTAGTCCCCGACGTCATCATGATGAATCTTACTATGGTCACCTCCTTCTTACGCTAGTCACCGCCCTGAGAAGGTAGGGATCCTATGATCTCCTTCATCAGTTCCTGTCTGATCCCCTCATGGCTCTGCATGTCCTTCTTTCTGCCCCTTACTGCCTCCAGTCCCTCTCCCAGTCCTGCACTGAGATCTTCCTTCTTGTGCTTATTGAAACTCATGGCTAATCACAAGTAGAATTACCTTTACTTTCAGCCTCTTCTCTGAATTTATTTTGCCTTACCAAATTGCTCTAAATTAAACCCAGCCCTTCTCCATGCTGCATCATTGCTTCACACCAGATGGACTGGTTTCCAATTTGCCTGTCCACTCTTGCAGCCTCTGTCCACAGAATCCACAGTTTTGAATCTCGTATCGAAAGATTCTATCACTTATCCTTCTTCTGCTGGAATTGTCTACCAATCCTTAAGTCACTTATTCTATGACTGTTTTAGCTCTTGGTTCAAAGCCAATCTACTAAAAATAGTAGTGCTGTAATAATTATTGTTGATTTCAATGATCACGAAGAACATCCCTATAATTCTGGGGCTGCTTAGTTTTTTAACCTTCTCTTCTCCAATAGCCTTGCTTCTGCTCATTCCAATGGAGACATCCTAGATCTGCCAGGATATCACTTCTCCATCATAACCCTTTTGGATTGGATCGCCACTATCTTCCAGCTCTCAACAATGCTGCCATGGACCAGGATCTATAATCCACTGACTGATTCTATCAAGGATTTCACTGTTCCTTATTTTGTGCCCTAATTTCCCTCCACATCTGGATGTATTTAATGGTTATGGTAATCACTTTCTTCCATATACTTTTCAAGTCATTTGTGACCCTTGCATCTTTGTAATCGCTTGACAAAACTACAGCCTCGATTAAATCCAACTCTTAGACTATTCTGTCCATTCATCCATGCTGGTGAATATAATTGAAGAAAAACCCTCAACCATGTTGACTTTCAATGTATAATTGTTACATTCCGCTCTCACAAGCAAGAAGGGTCGGAGACGGTCGGGCAGTCAAAGATGTTTTATTGGCCAAAGTTTCAAAGTTAATGGCTGCAAATGAGAGCCGCGCCTAACTCTTACAGGCTAGGGTTTTTATAGAAGCGGGCAAGCAAGCGGGTTTCCAGAAGCAAAGGTGGCAGTTAGTGACAAACGAGCTCAGGTGTGAAGCACTTAACAACAACTCCTGACACATGGAAGCCCTCTATACGTTTTGACCAATTCCTAACTCTCTGGAACACCTGCCTGGGGATGGGTGCGGTTTCTCCTCAGGCTTGAGCAAGAAGTCTTGGGTTGAGCAAACAGCTTAGCACAAACAACTTATTTCCTCCTCGACTCCAACATAATCATAAAGCTCAAAGGGGCCCTCTGCTTTGCCTAGCCAGGAATCATATTACATTTTCCTTATCAAAGTCATCTTGCTTTCTGAGCAACAATTTTTTGTCTTCAGCCCTTTCATCAAAATTCTAAGTCATCCTTTCTCGTCTCCACCTTCAGCTGATGACTATTTCACTAGCCAAAACAAAAGAACATTTCCTAAAGCTTCCTTCACGTCTATCTCCCTAGTGCTCAGCACCACACAGTGGGCCCGGATGACCTGCCCATTCTCTAGCCAAGACCTGCCGCCACTTCTGCACCAGGTTGCCTCCTCTCCTGTGTTCCCAAGGGTATCCACTCCCCTGTCTAAAGGAATGTTTCCATCAGCACAGAAAGGTGCTATCACTCTCCCGTTTCAAATTCTCTCTTTTGATTCCATCCCCTTTCTAAGCACCGTCCTGTTTCTCTGTTATCTTTTACAGAAACAAAAAACATCCCTCTTAAAGGCTTACCTAGTATAACTGTGTTCCATTAATTTCTTCACATTCTCTCTTGAGTGTGCTTCAGTCAAGTTTTGGCCCACAGCTCTTCACTCAAACTACTCTTGCCTAAGTCATAAATTACCTAAATGCTATCTGTAATTGTCTTCAGCTGGCTTGAACTACTCACAGCATTTTTCAGAGATGATTATTTCTTCCTCCAGGGGAAATACTTTCCAGGACACCATCCTTTGCGATTTTCCCCTTAACTCATTGACTTCTCCATCTATACCCGACTTACTAATCCTTTCTATATCTTTGGCCTCTTAATTGGAGTGTCTCAGGATTCAACTCCCACTTATTCCAAGACAATTTTATGAGTTAGCATCACTTATTCCACTGCAAATTCAGATTTCCACCTCTGTACTTTGATGCTCTCGTCTATTTTCATGTATATCACTAATATGTTGATAGTTTCAAAATTTTTATCTGTGGCCAGGACTCTCCTGGTGAGCTCTAGAATTTCTCCATTGCCTGATCACCATCTTCCTTTCAATGCAATAAGCATTGCACAACACTTTCCAAGCTATTCTCCTCACCTTTCCTTCCTGTATTCCCATTTCAGTACATTGTAATTTTATACTTCTAGTCACACACACACAATATTGGAATCATTTTTGACTCCTTGCCTACTCACACCGTAGGAGGCTCAAAGTTCAAAATCAATCCAGAATGTGACTGCTTCCTACATTTCCATGGCTATCACTCTAGTCCTGAATTATGGCAACGCCCTCCTATTTGTGTCTGAGCTTATCTCCTTACCCTCACCCCCTTCCCATACCACACCCCCCTGTGTAAATTGAAACCCAATAGCCAGAATCCTCATGTTAAAACAGGTTGTAGATGACACTGCTCTGCTCAAATCCTCCAGTGTATCCTCCATCTTCAACATGAAGTCCAAAGAGCGGCCTCAAGGCCCTGTAAGTTCCTGACCTACACTCAGGATTTTTGTATTTTCTGTTCTTTCTTCTCAGAAGGTTCTTCTCCAGATATCTGCACAGGTCACGCAACCACCGTCTTTTAGTGTCCACACAAATGATTCTCCATGAGGTATGCTCTGACCATTATTTTAAATGGTGTTCCCTCTCATTTCAGTAAAGCTTCTTACTACTGTATTTTTCTCTCATGACCCACGATACTAACAATTTCAGTCATGCATTTTGTTTACTTTCAGTTTTTCCCTGCTCTGGTGACAGTGAGTTTATACTACAGTGTAAGTTCTGGAGGAGCAAGTACAGGTTTTCATCTATTTTGTTCACTGCTACATCGCAGTGAACTGCCTATAATAGTGCCTGGTACCCAGTAAATGACAATATCTTTTTTTAGTAAATAAATAAATGAATTTTCTATTTAATGAGACCTTATAGCAATGAAGTGATGTTAAAAGTAAAGATGTAAATGGGAAAAATGGTTAAAGATGGTAAGAAAGCTGTCTATGATTGTATTGAAAGCAGCTATCCAATTATCAATGGATGTGATGAAAATGTTGAAAACAGTCACCAATTTATTTTGTTTGAAGAGTCAGATGTGACACTGACACAGCATGACAAAATTCTGTGCAATTTGTGTTCACAATTTTCCAATGGCTTCCTGGCCCAAAAAGAATAAATATTTAAGTCCTTTTTATGAAAAGTTTATCAGAACCTACAGAATCTCTTCCCTGCTTATCCCTCTAACATTATTTCCTAAAATTTTCCTAAATGGTCATTATTTCTCAGCAACATAAGCATCCTTGATGTTCCAGAAACATTCAAATCATGTTCCTGTCTCAAGGGTTTTGCACTTATTCTTCCTTTTACCCAGAATACATTGCCTCCAGCTGTCTGTTTATTACTTCAACTGTTGCTGCCTCACAAATGCTTGCCCTGACTTATTTTAAAGGGATAATATTTGTTTGTGGTGTAAACCGTATGGTAGGAGACCCGCCCTTTGGATGACTCTGGAGAGCATTATGCTGACTGAAATAAGCCAGGTGGTAAAAGACAGATACCATATGATCTCACCTGTAAGTGGAACCTAATCAACAAAACACACAAGCAAGCTAAATATAACCAGAGACAATGAAATTAAGAACAAACTGACAGTAACCAGAGGGGACAGGGGAGGAGATAATGGGGGAAAGGGGGAGGGTTTTAGTACATGTATAAAGGACACATGGACAAAGCCAAAGTTGGGCAGGACTGAGGGTGGAAGGTGGGGCTGGCTGGGGTAGGAGGCACATGGTAGGGAAAAACGGAGACAATTTGAACAACAATAAAAAATAAGAAAAAGAGAAAAAGAAATATTTACATTAAAAACAATAAAAATAATTTAAAAAGGTAACATTTATAGTTCTCTATTCCCTTCACCCACTTCCCCCCTCTGTTTCTTAAAACAACATGATTTTATAAAACATGATTGTTTATTGTTTTCTCCTCACTAAAATATGGACAATGAAAGAGCAGGACTTTGTTTCGTTTGTTATGTCAGAGTCTAGTACAGTGTCTGGTAAATCATAGGAATGCAACAATTATTTTAGATGAATGAATCAACCATGCCTTCAAACACCCTCCATTGCCAACTGTATACATCTTGAAGGTATCTGGTACACAGAAGGAAATTCAATATCTGCTTTTCCATCTTGTTTTTCAGTACTCTAGCCCAGTGGACTTCAATGTGGGATAAGTATTGTCTTGGAGCAGTAAGTAGGCTTTCAAAGGACATGCAAGCATAGATAATGTTTTGGAAATTTAACAGCTTTAATGAGAAAAGGGAATACACAGTAAAGTACATATTATACATAAAGTATACAATTTAATGAGTCCTGACATATGTATTCATTGATCAATGAGACCAAGTTCAGGAATCTAACAGTCACCTCAGGAGTTTTCTCCTGCCCTTCTCTACTACTGCCCATCCTAGACCCAACCATTGATCTGCTTTCCATCACTATGGATTAATTTACATTCTATTAATAAGCTATGTTAACTTAATCAAACTATATATTACATTTGGTATGATTTCTTTCATTCAACCATGAATATCATTATTTTGAAATCCAACCACATTGCTGTGTATATTAATAGTTCATTGCTTTCTATGCTGGTTAATATTCCATTATATGAACATATCATAATTTCTTTACTCTTTTATTTACAAACATTTGAGTTGTTTCCAGTTTTGGGCCATTATGGATAAAAGTGCACAAATACTTGCTTATCAGCCTTTGTGGGGACGTAGACTTCATTTCTCTTGAACAACACCCAGCACTGGCTCTCCTGGGTCACATGGGAGGTGTGTGTTTAAGTTTGAAAAAAAATTGCTAAAAGTCTTTGTAGCACAGTTGTATTAATTTAGATCCCAACCACAGTGTGTAAGAGTCCTGGTTCCTTCACATCTTAACCAACAGTTGGTAGAAATCTCTTATGCAGTGGTATCTAATTGTAATTTTAACTTGCGTTTTCTTAATTACTAGTGATGACTAGTGATGTTGAGCATCTTGTCACAAACTTTTTTGCTATTTCTCTCTCTCCCTTTCGTAAAATGTCTTCTTGAATCTTTTGTCCAGTATTTCCTGGAATGCTTGTCTTCTTATTATTGTAAGTTGTAAATGTTCTTCAAATGTTTTCATATAAGGTCTTTGTTGGATATATGTTTTCAAAGATTTTCAATGGTGAACATTTAAAATCTTGATGAAGTCTATTAAGCTTTTTCTTTACACTTTGTAGTTTTTCTGTTCTATGTGAAAAAACTTTGCCAAAATCAAGATTAATAAGATTTTCTCATTTTGTTTAGAGGTTGTGTATTTTTAGCTATTTCATTTGGGATTATACTCCAGTTTGAATTAATTTTGTATAAGGTATGAGGCAAGTGTCAAGGTTTATTTTCTTGCCTATTGTTAATCCAATTTATTTTACATCACTTTTAAAGAGTTGTTCTTTCCCTATTAACTTGGAGTCTTTGTAAACTATTATTCAACATAAATGTGTGGGTCTATTTCCAGACTCTTCATTTTGTTCTACTTATCAATTTGCCTATCTTTGTATTAATACCATAGTATCTTGATTACTATAGCTTCATAATGTCTTGAAATCATATAGTGTAAGTCTTCCTACTTAGTTCTTCTTTGTCGAGAAGGTTTTTGCCTA